CGGTAGACGGAGAGGCGGTTGGCGCCGCCGCACACGCTGCCCCGCTCGCCCTTGCACTCCATGTCGCACTCTGCCTCGCTCACGTTGGTCGCCTGGATCTTGTGGCCGCAGTAGCACTCGGCGCCGAACTCCAGCCCAGCGTACAGGTAACCCCTGGGGGAAGCTGCTGTCAGGGGGGCAGCTGCCACCTTCGAGACCCTGAAGCTTAATGTGGAGACCCAGGGGACAGGAGGGCTCTGGGAACCATGAGATCCCAGGGGAAGTGGGGAGGTAATGATGGGTGAAGGGGGCAACAGGAGATTCCAGGAGAAAGTAGATCCACCCAATGTGGAGACCTAATAGATGAGGGCCTTCAGAAGACAGGGAGACACCAAGGAAATGAAGAGACCCAAGGCATGGTGAACAGGAAGATCCTGGAAGGGGGACATGGGAGACCTTGATGGGAACAGAGAAGACCTTGAGAGACAGGATGACTCAAGGAGACCTGGGGACAGACGTGCTCCAAGAGGTAGGGAGATCTGGGTTATGGATGAGACTCCAAGAGAAGTCAGGGAAGACAAGGAGTTAGAAAGACTTGGTAGGGAGTGGGGGGTGGGTAGGAAAGCCAAGAAGGAATTTGACAGAGGCCCTGGGGGACAGGGAGACCCCAGGGGATGACAGGAGCACCCCAGGGACCACCCGACTGCCTTTATCTCTTCCTGGTATACACCTGCCACACAGAGGCGCCATGTCCACATTCATGCTCACCTGTACACACTCCACCATGTGGTTCACTTGTCTCACACACCCTGAGTCCACCCCTCTCTTACTCCTCCCTGTCTGGACATTCCATCCAAGAGACATTCCATCTCTTGAGTCCAATCCTTTTATTCTGGAAAAAATCACCCAGGAATGATGCCCCCATGTCTCTTGAGAGGAACTGGGGAGAGGGGCGGTATCAGAGACTCTCATATCCTGGCAAAACTGAGGTCACATGCTCAGCCAAGTAAAAAAATTCCTTCCCCTAAGATAGAAAATTCCAGGCACTGCAAGGTTTTTGACTTTTCAGAGCAACATAATCTTTTCCTAAAAAGGACTCTCAGTGGATACTCTGTAAACAGATGAAAAGGGCATGGCTTGCTCTGGCTCCAGGATGGTTGGGGGAGGGGTACAGAGGGAGGGGCGCAGGACATCCTTGCTCAGCTCCTTTGTCCATGGTGGCTTTTGAGACACTCTCAAGAACCATGAGGCTCTTGAGAGAGCAGTTTGCTAAATCCTGATCACAACCGTGGGAACTGTCAGGACTCACCTCACTCTGGATTGTACGGTAAGGGCTGGAAATAGACCTACCAGACTTTGGCACTGAAAAACTCACACGCTCACCTGGGAAGATGAGGTAGGAGTTGCTTGCACAGAGTGAGCATCTAGGAACCTGACACTCAGCAAATTCCTAGGGCTAGACCAACCTCTTCCCACCTATCTGTCTCAGTCCCTGTATTTCTCCCAAGCCCTACTTTCCAGATGCCCTTAGGGTCCCTCTGCCATAATTGGAACCACATATAGAAGCAATTATCTCCCAATAAAGGGCCCATGAGGTGTTATCAATTCCAGAGGAAGAGATAGCCATTCACCAGAGACAGAAAGAACTAAGTCTGAGGTGGAGGAGAATTTGGATGCAGAGAGACCCACAAAAGAAAGTTCAAACACTGCTAGGCTAGAGAAAGAACAAATATTCCAGGAGGTCCCACAGGTTGAGAGGTGTGGTGGTTTCAAAATATGCTCATAAATTTATGGATATTTCTTTCTTTAAGTGGTGGAGCTTAATTCTCCTCTTGAGTACAGACCAGACTTTGTGATTTAGTTCTAATGACTAGAATGTGGTGGAAGAGAGAATGTGACTTTGATGGCTACATCATGCAATGCTTCCTCCTCACTCTCTCCTATGTATGGCTCACTCTAAAGGAAGCCAGCCGCCATATTGTGAGGACACTCAAGCAGCATCATGGACACGTCCATGTGGTAAGGACCTGAGGCCCCCAACCAACAGCCATTTGAATGACTCATCTTGAAACAGGGTTTACCAGCCCATGTCAAACCTTCAGTTAGCACCAGTCTCTGCTCATATGCTGACGGCAGCCTTGTGAAATACACTAACGTAGAATTGCCTGACTAATCCCACTCCCAAATTCCTAATTCCTGATACTCAGAAACCATATGAGATAATAAATGTTTGTTGAAAATGCTAGTTTGGGATAATTTGTTACATGGCAATAGATAACTAGCATAGGATGGGAAATGAAGGTAGTCTTGAGATCCTTGGGGCCATCCATCACCAACAACTGACCCCAGTCTCCCTGCTGTTACCTTTGCCAGAAAGCCCTTTCAAAAATTAAAACAGATCATGGCGCTAGGTGTGAAAACCAAAGATGATCCAATTGGACAAATAGCATCAGTATCGCCTGGGAACTTGTTAAAAATGCAAATTCCAGGGACCCCCTCTCCAAACCTGCTAAATCAGAAAATGGGGGTGGGGCCCAGAAATCTGTATCAAAAGACTCCTGGGATTTTGACACATGCTTTCAAGAGCCCCTCCCTTAAGTAACCTGATCCCCCTCCCTGATCCTCATTTCCCACTGCTATGGTCTAAATGTTTGTGACCCTCTCAACAATCCATATGTTCATACCTCACCCTCAGGTGATGGTATTAAGAGGTGGGATCTTTGGGAGGCAATTAGGTCATGAACTCTTCACCCTCATAAATGAGATTAGTGCTAGTGTAAAAGAGCCTTGAGGCAGTGCATTTGTCCTTCCTGATATGTGAGAATGCAGCAATAAGGCACCACCTTTAAAGCAGAGACTGAGCCAGACACTCAATCTGCTGGCACCTTGATCTTGGACTTCCCAACCTCCAGAACTGCAAGAAATAAATTTATGTTGTTGACAATGGACCCTTTCTAAGGTATTGTTATAGCAACCCAAATGGACTGAGACATTCACCATCTTTTCCCCAGCCAATTCAGCTGCATTCATGAGTTTCCTGGCCCTTCCACATGTCCAGCTCATTCCTGACCCATGGCCTTTCTAAATCCTTGCCACTCCTTCTGCCTGGGGGACTAACTGCCATTCTTGTGGCAGGTTCCTTTTGACCTTCTAGGTCTGAGTTCAAAATCATCTTCCTAGAGAATCTGCTGCTTCCCCCCCGCCCCCAAACTGGTGCTATCTCTCATACCAAGCACTATCCCACCATCCCATTTTATTTTCTTACAGCTCTTATCACATTTGAAGGGATCTTCTTTATCTTATAAATTTCCTGTCTGCTTCTCTAAAATATATAAAGGCAATGATTCTGTGGGGTCTTATTCACCTCCACATCTTGGGACAATGCCTGGCCTAAAATAGATGCTTGATATACAGGTGAATGTAGACTACTCCAGTCAGTAATAACACCTTCCAGTGACTTCCCATTGCCCTCAAGGTCAGATCCAGATGCTTTGGTTAGCATTCAAGACCCTGTGTCACTGGGCTTCAGTCAGCTCTACAGTTTCCCTGATACTCCCATTGTATTCTCTGTGCACCCTCACATTGCCTACCTGAGCACCCTAAGTGTTCCAGGATGTTGCAGGAGTCCTGGCCTTTGAGGATGCTGTGATTTATGCCCTATTGTGACTACCTAGAAAACTTGTATTCATCCTTCAAAATCCTGCTCAAGGCCTCACCTTTGTAACTCTTCCTGAGACCTCCACGTAGAGCCCTTTATTCTTCCCATGTTTGCAAGTCCCCTGCACCTTGTGCAACACCCTAGAGGGATGCTTGACCTCTCCATACCATCTGTATAATGTGATTCATAACGTTCCTGCCTCGGACAGTTCTTACGATGTTAAAGAGCTAATATTTTCAAAGTATGTGGAACAGTGTTTGGCACAGAACAAGAGATTACTAAGTGTAAATTGCTGCTGGTGTACTGCCCAATCACATAATAAGGTCGCTTGCTCATGCCTCTGTCTCCCTGAGAGCAAGGCTGGGGCTCACTGGTCTCTGCATCTCCAGCACCTGGGATCAGGTTCAGCACAGGTGGGCAGCCAACAGGTCTTTGCTGAGCTGAACTGAACTACAAGAGTACCCATGGCTCATCTTGCCTATTGCCTCCTCTGAGAGGTCCTTCTTGATACTCCAGGCTGGCTAGGGACCTCTTCTGCATTTCTGACTGTCTACATTATTCCACCTCAACCTGTATCTCACTATGTGGTTCTTTTCTGTTCCCTTGTTTGTCTCTTCTTGGCTGCAAGTCCCTCGAGGCAGGGGCTATATATGGAATCTATCCATCAAGGCCTCCAAGACCTTCCCAAGTTGAGAGGGTCCTGGGCTCAGGACTTTAATGGTGGTGTCCTCAAGCAACTGATTATAAGGGGCACAGTTTCCTAATCAGGGAGAGGGGGAAGAGTCCTTTGTTGGCCACCACTTCCTCATTTCCACCAGGCATGTAGAGCTTGGGACTGTCAGAGCCATCTGGCTGTCTGGCTGGAGTCTGGAAGTGAATGCAGTAGAGGTCTCTTCAGGAGCCACTATGGGCTCAAGAGACCTGAGACATAGAGGAAGAGGTCAGCTCAGCTCCATGGCATCTCCAGTCCTTAGGGACTCATCTACTCTCAAAAAGTCAACCCTTCCCCTAGTGCATGTTCTAATCAAAAACATCATCTTCTTCTCAGACTGAAAAACACTGAACAAGGGAATGTTTCTCCCTGGGAGAAAAACAAGGGATTTCTATGCTGAGAAACCACTGGATCCCTCCACCTCACCCTTCACACAGACAATGCACACACCTCATGTGGCTTACAGACCCCAACCTGCATGCATATTCACACCCAATGGGTGTTTCCAAGTTGTGTGCAATTCTCACAATCTTACACTCTCAACGGTGTTGCACATTCAGGCATGATGCACATACAAACATACACTGCATACACACAATGCAATCAGACATGTGTATACACAAGTATAACTTTGGACCCTTGCACAAATATCCACAACTCCTGCACACACAGCCACTATTGTTTAAAAATAAGTGTGCATCAGCAGTAAGCTCACAGCTGGCCCTTACACAGCACCCCGTAAGGTCACTCCCAGGCATAATCTCACACATTTGTACAATGACAAACTCCCATAGACGAATTCCAGAGCAACCTTGCTCATTCATGAGTATCATTCTTCCCTTGTGGTCACATGCTCACACTCTAATGCACCCTCCCCCAGCAAGGCAGGAAATACCACAGACCTGAGGAGAAAGGGGTCTGGGATGTTGGGGCCCTACCGTTCAGCACAGTTGTCCTGGCAACGGAAGATGGTCATCTTTTTGTAGTCGAAAAAGGACACGCCTCGCAGGGCCCGACTCTGGGTGTCATCCAGGTAGCAGCCGATGTACTTGGCTTTGGGGAAAGGAAAAAGTCAGATGTGGCTGGGGCAAAGCTGAAAGGGTCACAGGAGGAAGCTTCACCAGTGTGGCCTCATGGCCCTTTCGGTACCAATTCCTTCCTCTGGGTAGAAACGAGAGAGACTCAAAGTCATGAATCTTGGCAGGGTCTGGCCTAATCAGGGCAGTGGAGGCCAGTGGGTAGGGTCGTGGGACCTGGAGGCCAAAGAGAGAAGGAGAAGACCCTTCATGGCTGGGGCTACAGTCAAACTCTTAGGGTCTCCTGGTCTCCTGGATGCCAATGGGGCACCCAGGAACCCCAGCCAAGTCCATTCCTGAAGCCACAAGCACAGTTCCCATTCTCCCACAATAAGGCAGTTCCAAAGAGCCTGACATTTGACAGCATGTTCCGACTTCTGCAAGCGGCCTTAAATCTTTGTCTCCTTGGCAGGCACATTGAATTTGGATCTCTCGAGGTCTAGGTCCTTCAGTTCCCTTTGGTTACTTCCTAGCATGGACCTAGTGAGTTTTGGCCAGGTAGCTCTCAAAGGCCTAGTTTTCTTTGTAGTAGAGATGAAAATACTGACCTAGTAAGGTTAATGTGGAATGATTTTATATATATATATATATAGAGAGAGAGAGAGAGAGAGATTTTTGGTATAGAGCGTGTGTGCTTGCTGCAGAGACAGAGACAGAAAGTGAGAAATCACCCCCAAGGGTGTTGGCCATGCCACAATTCCTTCTCCTCCATTCTCCTCTCAGGGCTTTGGGCATGAATGTACATGTACCCAGCATGAGTTTTAAGCTACCGGGCCTGGGGCTCAAACCATGGTCAACTACATGAGAGTCCAGCAACATAACCATTCCGCCATCTGCTGGTCCCAATGTGGAATTATTTTTGTGAATGTTTCTACCATAATGTCTTGCATGTAGCAGACACAAAATTAAGGTGAATAGAATCAAAGTTGAGCCTTCACAGTGCTGGACAATGTACTTCACAGTTTGCCTTTGTTGTGAGCCAAGGGGAATTCTTCCATCCAAAAGGCAAGTTTAAATTATATTTAACACCCATCCAATTATAAACCACACAGCTAGTTTTCTTAAAGTAGTAAGCACTTTCCTGTATTTTATGGTACATATCAGGTCATTGAGAAGTCATAGAAAAACATAGAAAACTATGTCACAACTTTCCCCATGACCTATCAGTAACTCTTTTATATAAAGAAAGCAATTTCTAGTTTTTTATTATAAAGTCTTTTCCCATATGGTTTTTTTTTTTTTTGGAGAGATTTTCACTGTAGGGCGCGTGCGCTCGCCAGACAGAGACATAGAGACAGAAAGCGAGAAATCACCCCCCAGGGGGGATGGTCACGCCGCAATCCCTTCTCCTCCATTCTCCTCTCGGGATCTTGGGCACGCACGCACACGCGCCCGGCGTGAGTTTTAAGCCACCGGGTCCAGGACGTGAACCGCGGTCGACTACGTGGGAGTCCAGCGACATAGCCATTACGCTAACTGCTGGTTCCCTTCCCATATGTTCTTAAAATGATTATTATTACTATCTGGATATATACTTTGGTGCTTTATACATGTCATCTCATTGAATCCTTACAATGCTCCTATGAGAATATTATTCCTATTCTTTTTTTGGCCGTTGGGTGTGTGTACTTGCCAGAGAGACAGTGAGTGGGAAAGAGAGAAATTATCCCCTGGGGGGATGGCCATGCTGCAATGCTTTTTTCGCTATTCTCCTCCTAAGATCTTGGGCACGCATGCACGTATGCCTGGTGTGATCCTCAAGCCGTACGGTCTGAGATGCAAACTGCAGTGACCCATGTGGGAGTCCAGCACACTAACCACTACACCAGTTACTGGTCCCGTATTATTCCTGTTCTATGCAGAAGAGGAAACTGAGGCCCAGGGAGGTTAAGCACTTGCTCAAGGTAACACAGCTTGAGTATGTGGAGCCAGAATGGGACCTAGACGATCTGACTCCTGAGCCCACATTCCACCCTGCTTGTTTATTGAATGAGGGCATCTTTGCTATGTCCACGTGAATGGGAACACTGGCATTCTCATAACCTTTCCTTAGGTGACTGAACAGAACCTCACAAAGGTGAAGTAGCCTGGCATAGGCAGCTAATTACTAACAGAACAAATATTTAAATCCAGGTCTATGCCGCCCCCCCCTCGCCCCCCCCCAAAGCAGTGCTCCTTCCACTCCTTCATTTGGAGACTAGACCAAGGATCCAGACAGCCCTTAGAATTAAATGGCCCTCCTGAGGAATAACTGAGGGACAGATTGAGTCCCACTTGATTACTTTCCTTGCTAGGTTTCTGTCTAATTTAAACAGAGGGCTTCTTTCTCCCCTTACTGATGGTGGAGAGCAGAGTCTAGCCAATCATTACTGAGCAATTATGCCCCTGGTGCTGCCCAGCTAAGTGCAGTATTTGTCAGTCCTGCCGGAGATGTGCCGTCACCCTGATCACCCTGGGTTTCTTTCCTAAGACAGAGATGATCTGCCTGACTGAGAACAGTCCCTCTTTAAAAGCAACATGGCCTCTCTGGAGCAAGCATGTCAGACAGTGACAGCTCTGGAGACACCCACGTTTTGTCTTTCTGTTTGTTCGACAATGCATGACCCTCCCTATTGCAGAAGGAGTCGCAACTCCTTGCCTCGGACGTTGGTGCTATTCACACCTAAGCTGGGAGAGACCACTTCGTGGGTCATGTTGACAAGGACTTCACACTAACTTTAGTTCAATAGTTCATTAGAGCAGAGGTCCCCAACCCCTGGGCTATAGGCTGGTACTGGTCCATGGCCTGTTTAGAACTGGGCTGCACAGCAGGAAGTGAGTGGTGGATGAGCGAGCCAAGCTTCACCTGTGTTTGCAGTCACTTCCCGTCACTCACATTACCTCTTGAGCTCTACCTCCTATTAGATCAGGAGGGGCTTCAGGTTCTCATAGGAGCGTGAAGCCTACAATGAACTATGCACATGAGGGATCCAGATTGTGTGCTGTCATGACCCATGCCCCTTTGCTCCCCAATCCTTGGAAGAATTGCCTTCCAGGAAACCAGTCCCTTGTACCTAAAAGGTTGGGGACCACTGCATTAGAGGAATTTCTGAGGATGTGTTGGAGGATGGGCAGGAGGAGGGAAGGAAAGAAAAGGAACACAGGAGGTAGGAACAGGGGGAAGAAAGAAGGGGAAAAAAAGAGTGGTCTATTTTAACAATGTGAGGTTTTTATAACCAGATTTGTGTGCATGCGTGTATGTGTGTGTGTGTGTGTGTGTGTGTGTGTGTGTGTGAGAGAGAGAGAGAGAGAGAGGGAGAACTATCACACATTGAGTACCTACTATGTACTGTCTACTTTGCTATGAATCATGTCTCTCTCTCTTTTTTTTTTAGTTTTTTGCCATAGGATACATGCTGGAGAGGGGAAGAGAGAGACGGTGAGATGGAAATTGAGAAATCACCCCCTAGGGAGAATGGCCGCACCACAATCCCTTCTCCTCCATTTCACTCCTGGGATTTGGAGCATGCATGCACACACACCCAGAATGATTTTCAAGCTGCCAGGTCTGAGACTCGAATCAGTTGGCCATGTGGGAGTACAGTGCCTTAGCCACTATGCCACCTGCTGGCCCCTTGTGTCTCTCTCTCTCTTTTTTTTTTTTAAATTCAATCTTCACAAGTTTCTTATGAACCCATTTTAAAGTTGAGGAAACTGATCACAGTGACTCTTCCATCTCTCTGCCTTAGAAGTAAATCTTATTCTTGGATACAGTAGGTGCTCTGATTGGTAACTACTCATGTTAATTCTGCTTTCTCTCTTTTCTAAATGGAATCGGAAGCTTTGTGATCTGCCTCCCACGTTCCTTCAGCGTGAAAGTGTCTCGCTTCACGTTTACACCCAGGTCTGTCCTCTGCCCATTTTGCACATGGGGAGGTCTCACTTCCTTCAGGCCTGCAGGCTTCCTGACCATGAAGGGCTGTTCTAACATTGGAAGCGGAGGGATGCTCACGCCCCAGATGTGCTAGGCTTGGAGATGGATGTAACGTGACCTTGGTGGTCTCACAGCAGGTGAGGAGCATCTGGCTACACATGGGGCAGGGCGTCATGTTGGACAGGATCTTCATAATCAACTTAATGAGAGCATGAGTGAGTGTGTGTGCGTGCATATAAGCACGCGCCCTGTGTGGTGAAGGGCTAGGCTATAGTGGGTACTGTCTGTACCACCAAAGTACCCCCTCTTTTCTACTAGCAGACCTTATCTGCCCTGACCACGGTGGATACACTGACCTTGGCAGGGCTGATTGCATTAACCCACCTGCCAGTGACTGCTTCAAAGACGAACACAGGACCCATTGTTGACTTCTTGTGTGTTGTTTTCAGACAAAGTTTTACTCTGTCCCAGTCCTCCTGCCTCAGCCTCCCAAGTATCTGGGCCTACAGGCACACACCACTGTGCCTGGTTGTTAGGTTGACTAGAAATTGAACCTAGGCCTCCCACGTGGTCCACTGCACACAGTGTCTTAGCAGCACATGCCACTGTGCCCATGTGGAGAATTCGCATAGATTAAATCTAGAGAAATAAATCTGCCTCTCTTGGGTTATGAATGTGGTGTTCTGTTAGCAGGTGTTGCCTGTGTTAGCCGCCACAATCCCTAGCATGTGTCTGTGTGAGAGAACCAACAGGCTAAGGCAGAGAGGAGCAGAGATGAGGGCGAGAGTGAGAAGACCACAAATCATTTATTTCTAAAACCCAGGCCAACAGGGTTTGAAGTCTGATGGCATGATGTAATGCACTTTCTTCTCTAGCTTAAGCTGCTTCAAGTTGGGCTTTTGTCCCATCACTCAAGAAGGGCATTGACCAAATATGCCAACACTCAAGCTAAACAACTTGACCAGCCATGAGGGGCTTGGACTAGCCGCAAGCCAGGATGTCTGTTCAAACCTGCTGCTTCTCATGAACCATGCTGAGTCTAGGCTTAGGAGGAGGAATCCCCA